ATGTTATGATGTCACTGTTAAAAGATGTTCTTAAATTTGAGATGAGAAGCAGGTAATTACTTGGCAACCCCCCTCCTAATAAAGTAGACATTTTTAAAATAGCATTAATGTATTCCAATGAAAGTTGTGAAGGTTGTAGAATTTCCATCCCTGGTTCAAGAGCAGGTTAGACAGACATGTGGCTGGGCCAATTTAGTCAGGGATGGCCCTGCCTTGAGCAGGGGGCTAGACAAGATGACCTTATAAGTTTCCTTCCATTCCTATTTACCTATGACCCTATGGTCCTAAGCTATGTTCTCATTGCCACTCTACTGCCCAAATGTGGCCTCACTGTAGTTGCTTATATTCCTTCAGATCCAACTGAGAAGTCCCTTCAGTCCAGATTTGGCCTGGTGCGAGTTTGATGCCCCCAATCAAAGGGTGATCTAACCCCTTGTTCATTACTCTCCCTGGAATCCATCATCATTAGCTTAAAGAAGTTGTGCCCAATCTTTTTGGCCAACAGGCCAGATGGGCAGTGCTCAGTCTGTCTGCAGGCTGGATCTCACCAGTGGTCCCAAACCAGCACCAGAGAAGGTACGGTGAGGCCCCATCTGGCAGCACAGGGGAAGGGGAAATGGCCCAGCCCGAACCTGGCCCCATGGGGGTGGGGGTGGAATTGGAAGCAGGGGAGAGCAGCAGTACTGTCACTGCTCCCCTGCTGATAAATTTCTTGAACCATGGAGTGTCCTGCAGGCCAGATGCCATAGCTCAGTGGGCAGTATTTGGCCCACAGTTTTAAGCATATTAAATATTGAACAGAGATTGAACACCCCTGATTTAGAAATGCCAGATGATACACTTCTGTTCTATTTAACAACTAATAATAGATTGTTCATTAATCTGTATGGTCCCTTTTTGAACCTATATTACCTGTTTCTATAACTTCCTGTTTTGAACCTACAGTATCTGCATCTACAACTTCCTGTGGTAATTAGTTCCACAAGTTCATGATATGCTGCATAAAAAATAAGTCCTTTCTCTTGTTAGTTTTAAATGGTGTCCTACTGAATTCAGTGGGTCTCTCTTAATTCTAGTACTCTGGCACCTGGTGAATAACAGTTCCTTATTCACTCTGTTCACACACTTCATTATTTCACAGAACTCTATCATATCCCCCTTAACCCTTCTCCTTTTCAAATTGAACAGTCCTAGTCTCTTTAGTCTCTCCTGGTACGACAATTTCACCATGTCCCCAATCACTGTGGTTTCACTTCTCTTTACCTTTTCTAATTCTACTACATCATTTCCTGAGATGCAAAGACTAGACTTACATGTGGGCACACCATGGAACAGCATAATGATGATGGCAAGATGATTTTCATTCTGTTTTCAATTTTCTTAATGATGCCAAACATTTTATTAGCTTTTTTTTGGTTCCTGCTGCACACTGAGCTGATATTTTTAGAGAAATACTGTTCTCCTACAGTTCTCTCTCATCTTTTCTAGGAAGGGTCACAACATTAGCTTCCACATGAAATAAAACCACATATGCAGAACAGCCAATTTAGCTGCACAGGATTGATAATGTTCTAGTGAAATAATGAGATTGATTTATTTATTATTTCAATTTGTATGATGCCCTTTCTAACAAAATTAAGGGCAGCTTACAATAAGAAGATAGAATAATTTATAAAACAGGAGAATGAACAAGAAAACAAAATGACTTAAAAACTTGTGGGAGGTTGCTTTTGGCTGATCTCAGAGATCAGGATGGGATGTATGGGTGTTCCTAGTGTTTGACTTGAATCGTCAATCTCTGGCTCAGCATCAGTTGTGCTGGGTGGCCAACATTATAGAAAAATAAAAATATATATAGTGATATTTAAAACAAGTTATTCTTCACAAACCTGGGAAAATTGTAAGCAAAGACCATTTAATATCTAAGGGTGCTTATATGTGAGCAGGGAGGCTGCTCCGACACACTGGAATTCTAGCATGTCAAAGCAGACTCTATTAATTGATTCTGCTGGAGTGTGGCAATTACCACACTCCAGCAGCTTCCTGTGTCTCATGCATCAGCATCACTGCGCTTAAAAATGGTGGCAGGGACACTTGAACTAAAGTTTGTCAAATGAACTTTAGTTCAAGTATCCTCACCACCATTTTTAAGTGCAGGGACACTGATACATGAGATGCAGTGATGCTTTAATTAGAGTGGTTCCAAGAGCACTCTAATTAAAGCATTGCCCCCCACCCCAGAGCACATGTAAGAGTGCCTTAGGGCTTCTTTCCAAGGAGGTCGTTTCCTACAATTTTCTTCAGACTTTTGTGGTATATTTAAAGTATTTAACCAAAGTTTGAGTTTTAAATTTGCAGATTATCAGCATGAAGAAACCTCCTGTAACATAACTGGTGTGGTATTTTCTTTTTGAAATTACAAGCCAACAGAAGCACCAAGAAACACAAACTCATCTCATCCGTCAAAACAAGGTTGTTATATGGAATGATCATACAGAATGATACTATGCATTCTAAATCTGTAATTTTTTTTAGCAAATGAGGAACAGAGAATTGCAGGTATCGCACCTGCCCCTCAAGCCTCCACCAACTGAATTTTTATTTGCTTCCCACTCTGGCAAAGTGAAAATTCAAACAACATGCCAAACTGCTGATTGACTATATAAAGAAAATAGTAAAGACAGAACATCCACAGTAGGCTTAGACCGCAGGTTAAGTGACCCAGTATACAAGTGGAGTAAGACTTTCCTAATCTCTAATGCTCCTAAGCTTGGTCCATTCAAAGTTTAGATCTGGAGGTTCAGTACTATGTAGCGACTGCCACCACCTTCTGTGCAAGTAGATAGAAAGATGCTACAGCCTTGATTCTACCCACCACATGACAGGCAGCTATGCCAAGAAGGGGAAAGAAAAATAACATGAACTAGCAGTAAATAGCAATCCTCATGGAGCAAAACAGGAACACGTCTAGGCCAATGTAGCTAAACCTTACTTTATGACAGGCAGAGTGACACAGGCAAGAGGTCAAAGGACTGACAAATATGCAGTCCTCCAAAAATATAAAACCTGCAAAACTCCTTCAGTTGTAATAATGTTCTGTATCATCTGTTCCATTGTTAGGTAAAAATACAGAAAAAAGTGTCAGTTAAAACCAAAGATGTTTTACAAATGAAGTTTCAAAATTATACCACAAAAATGTAAATATTCACATTAGCATGTCTGCAATCTGTAAAATTCAAGTAATACATACAGAGCAAACAGAAGTTACGGTTATATTTTATTAATTTAGAAGGCATTCCATACAAGTTTGCTTATTAGTTCTTAATCTACAAATAGGTTAATATCCAATTGGATATCTTTATTTAGACACATTTCTACATGGTTTAGCAGATGAGATGATATCAATACATCTGCTGCTGACATCTTAAAAGAAGACTGCCTCCTCAAAATTGTTGCTTTCCTATGAAATATGGTCCCAAATCAGAGAAGAAATTCATTTTAATACTTCTGATAAAATTACTGTCACCCCACACTATGTCAAGTTAATGCAGCAGAAAGAGTAAGAATAAGTTTGCCATGTGTCCACCATGCAGAATAAGTACAGACTCCTAGGGAAGAAAGACCCTATGAACTGCCAAACATCCTCCAGGCACTTGTTGTCTATTCTAATATAATGAAGGGCTTAGTCTACCTGTCTCTGTCTGACTGTCTGTCCATCCATCCATAACACTTTTGGCCAACTGTGCATGCGCCAGTGAGAGGGTAGGCTGCAATTGGCTATACAGGCCCAAGTTTGAGCTGCTGCTGGGGAAGTTTGTGATGGCAGCAAACACGCCCCAGCTGCCCGAGCAATGGGGCTTCCCCATGCCTCCCTGCTTGAGGATGAAGTGGGGATCATGGTGAGGGCACCCCACCCCACCCGACACCTGCCAGAACAGCCAGCAGGGAGGGAGGGGAGCAGAAAGGGGGCCCTGACAACAGCTGGCACAGAGGGGGGAGATGGCAGGGAAGAAGGAAGGCTGCGCAGGCCTGGGTGGGTGCAGGGCGGGGCAAGTTGAGGAGGGAGTCTTTACATGGCTGGCCCTGAAGGGTCAGCAGGGGACGAGGAGGGGGCCATGTAAAAACTCCCTGAAATCCATCATGCTTGACAGGCAATTAGTTAGGACTTACAGAAGCTCAGTGGTTTTCCTTGAAGGTAAATGCTGTATTTTCTCACATCACCCATGCCAAATACTATATGCACTTTGCTTTGGGAAGAATGAAGAATGTAAGGAAAAAAAATTCCAGAG